GCCTCCTGTCACACCCAACTCCCACCATGCCCCACCTCCTGCCACACCCACCTCCTGCCATGCCCAACTCCCACCATGCCCCACCTCCTGACACACCCACCTCCCGCCATGCCCCACCTCCTGTCACGCTCAATTCCCACCATGCCCCACCTCCTGTCACGCCTACCTCCCACCACGCTCCACCTCCTGCCACACCTACCTCCCACCATGCTCCACCTCCTGCCACACCTACCTCCCACCATGCCCCACCTCCTGCGACACCCACCTCCCACCATGCCCCACTCACCGGCCCCAGCACACTCAGGATGGCGAAGCAGGCGCCCAGGATCACGTCTATAATGGCCCTCGTTCTCTGGAACCTCAGCATCACACGGAAGAGGGAGGCCTTTTCCAACCCATGCCTCGAGACTTCTTCTTCCCAAAGCAGGTGGAGCCTGGGAAAGAGGAAAATGGCCACGTGAAATCTCTGCGCACGTGTCACCCCGACGTCCCAGGTCCTGTAGCAGCTTCATTAGAAATTTTCAAACATAACAAAGTGAGCAGTGTAGGCATCACCCCCAAACACACGTTCCCCAGGTTCAAGGACCACCCCCATCTGTTTCACCTCTCCTCCCTTCACTTTTTCTCTTTTTTTCTCTATTTAAAGCAAATCCCAGACATATCTCATCTCTCAATGCTTTAGGGTGTATCTCTCCTAGATAAGCCTTTAGAAAAACACCACAGTAACCACAAAAACAATAGTTAATAATAGTTATAGTTATAAACAACAGTTATTAACATAGTAACAAAAATTTCTTAATGATATGGCATATCCAGTTTGTATTCAAATCTCTCTAATTATTTCAAAAATACGTCTTTATAGTTCGCTTGCCAAATCAAGGTACAAATAAGTCCATCCTATATAATAAAAAGGTAATGTGCAAATTGACCGTCACCCCCTCGCACAAGATGGCCACCCCCATGTGGTCACAAGATGACCACCACAAGATTGTTGGCAGAGGAGGGCAGTTGGGGGGACCAGGCCTGCAGGGGAGGGCAGTTGGGGGCAACTGGGCCAGCAGGGGAGCAGTTAGGCATCGATCAAGCTGGCAGGGGAGCGGTTAGGGGGTGATCAGGCTGGCAGGCAGAAGTGGTTAGGGACAATCAGGCAGGCAGGCAGGCAAGCAGTTGGGAGCCAGCAGTCCCGGATTGTGAGAGGGATGTCTGACAGGGATCGGGCCTAAACCGGCAGTCAGACATCCCCTGAGGGGTCCCAGATTGGGGAGGGTACAGGCTGGGCTGAGGGGCACCTCCCCCCCCCAGTGCACGAATTTCATGCACTGGGCCTCTAGTATGTTATATATATTTATTTATTCTATTTTTATGTTTAGTTTTAGAAAGAGGAAGGAAGGGGGAGAGAGAGAAACATCGATGTGTTGTTTCACTTATTTATGCATTCATTGGTTGATTCTTATATGTGCTCTGACAGGGATGGAACCCACAACCTGGTATATAGTGTGGCTCGGTGGTTGAGTGTCAGTTTATGAAGTAGGAGGTCATGGTTCGATTCCCCAGTCAGGGAACATGCCCAGATTTCAGGCTGGATCCACAGTAGGTAACATGCAGGAGGCAGCCGATCCATGATTCTTTCCCATCACTGATGCTTCTCTCTCCCTCTCCCTCCCTCTCTCTCTCTGAAATCAATAAGACGATATTTAAAAAATAAAATAAAAAAGCGCATTCAGACTAGAGGTCAGCCTCTTGCTACAGAGGAAGAGCCCGCAGTCCTTGGTTGTCTGAGGAGGGACCAACCTTACCTTCTCTGAGCATCTCTGGTCACCATCCCCCCCACCAAGACCTGGTCTTAACCGACCCCGTGGCTTGCCCAGCGTGACGTACCTGTGGGCGCTGCGGGTGGAGGCGTCCTGCGCTGACAGCGGGGGGATGGCGTTCTCATCCAAGCGCTTCCGGAGCCCTTGCATCATCAGGGGGCTGAGCCACGACACCGTCAAGTAGGAGAACAGGCCGGCGTCATCCAGGGGCTGAGGGGACGGGAACCTGGAAGTCACGGGCAAGGTGGGCATGCGGGCGCGGGAGGGGAGACGCAGGGCAGGGCAGGATTTTGAGATGATGAATCACGGCTATGCCAAACCACAGGCCGTCAGCCAGAGGCACCGCTACGTGTGTGCGTTCGCGACTGTTACCTGTGTGATAGTCAAACGTCAGAAACAACAACAGCGC